CACCTCCCGCGGGTACATCCGCTCGTGCTGGCAGGGCGTGAGGCGCTGCGGGTTCCCTTCCGCCGCTGGAAAGCCGGGAAAGAGGAGAGTGAGGCTGGGGAAGCTGTGCCAGCGCAGAGGGCGCGGGGCTGAGCGGGCACCTCACCGTACGTGCACTGGAAGCCGTCGCCCGCGTAGCCGGGCCGGCAGTGGCAGGAGAAGGAGCCCGGGGTGTTGTAGCAGACGGCGGCTGGGTGACACGGGCTCTCGGCGCACTCGTCCGCGTCTGCGCAGGGCGAAGATGGGATCAGCGGGGACAGGGCCACCCCGACAGCTGCGGCGTGGGGTGCCTCCCGTGCCCACCTTACCAGAGCAGTGGATGCCATCGCCGGTGTAGCCGGGGAGGCACTCGCAGGTGGCGCGGCCGTCACCGCGGGACAGGCACCGCGCCCGGTCCCCCGGAGCGCAGGGGTGCCGCCCGTCCTCGCAGGGGTCACCCGCCGGGGCCAGCGCTGTGGGGACAGGGCAGGGGTGCTCAGGGCACGTCCACGGGGCACGGGAGTGGGGGGCACCCCAGCTGGGGTCAGCACTTACGCACACACGCCTGCCCGTCCGCCGCCGGCCCGTACCCGCCGCGGCACTCGCAGCGGTAACTGCCCGGCACGTTCCGGCACTCGGAGAAGGGCCCGCACTGGCTCAGGCCCTCGGCACACTCGTCCACATCTGGGGAAAGGAGGAGACACCGGGTGTTGCCCTGATTCTTAAGATTTTCTAAAGCCTTCTGAGTTTGCGTTCTTGTAGAGAACTTTCTCACAGAACTTTCTGTAAACAACCTATTGTTTTGCATTCCTTCACGGAGGCAGAGAAATTTGATGTACTAATAGTTTGTCCAGTGTCGTTGGAGAGGTGGCACATTCACCCTCCAATCCACTGTCACCTTTGGAAAAGTATAAATGCTGGAGTCAGAAAATAAACTTCCTTTTTTTCAGCTTTGCAATAGCAGCAGCTCACGTCCTGTTTTTACGTGTCCTGTAGTGACACTGGGCACCCTGATGGTGGTGGGACACCCCCATTTTCAGGGTCTGGCTGCTCATGGTCTGACAGGGAATATCCTGCCCCACGTTGCCCATCCCATGTCTGTCACTGAACTTAATGAAGTATGGAATTAACTTTCTAATCAGCTCAAAACAGAAGGGAAAAAAACCCACAAGATCGCTTTGGGTGTATAGTTTTGACAAAGAAGCGTTTGTTCAAGGCACACCAATATTCTCAATTATTTGTGGTTTAAAACTTGGTTTCCTTCTCCTTAAATTAAGTGATCAGATGGGTCACTTAACCTGGGATTTTAGGAGAAGGAAACCTGCTCCTTATTGAAAGGCAGGATCCTTGAATTCCTTGGCAGCATCACTGCGCAGTGCAGCTCACTGGCACTGGGCAGCTTCTTGTGGAAAGGGCTCTAAAATTGGAAGATAAATTTGCAACGCTGAGTTTGGAGTGATAGGAAAGCAACAACAAAGCTGGCTGGATTTATGAAACGCAGGAATTATGTTTCCATTGGTTTTGCTCTTTTTTCCTGTCTCTCCTTTTTGTCTGCTCCTGGAGCGCTTCCCCAAGGACCTCCAGCACCCTGCCTCAGTTTCCCCCATGACATCCCTGTGCTTGGAGAAGCTCTGTGCATGCTGTGACATCCCGAATACCCGTGACCATTTTGGTGCCTGATGGGGCACAGATGCAGCAGCTCCCCCCAGCCCCGCTGACCTCGGCAGCCGCGTCCATCTGGGCGGTAGCCGGCGGCACACTCGCACGTGTACTCTGTGCCCACGCCGGGCTGGCAGCGCGCCGGTGCCTGGCACGCGTGGGAGCCATCCTGGCACGGGCTCACCCCGGGATTCTCGGCATCGCCTGTGGGCACACAGGGATGTTGGGGGGAATAAAACATCTGGGAGTCGCAAGGCGCGACCATCCCCGCTGCAGGCACCACCGCTGCGCCGCAGCACCGCTGTCCCGCACAGGCAACCGCGGCCGTGCCACCGCGCCAGCAGCGCTGCAGCTCAAACTGCTGGCACAACCCCTCCTTTGTGGCTGATTTTGGGCAAAGCCAGCACACCGCAGCTTTGGGAGACGGCAGCACCCCGGACTGGCACACGGATTGGCTTTGGGTGCCGGCGCTCACCTCGTGCCGGGCCGACGCGGGCGGCCAGGGCGTAGCGCAGGACGTGCTCGTGGCCGTCGAAGAGGGTGAAGGCGCGCGCCACCGAGAGCCGCTGCCGCGCCGGCGGCCGCGAGTGCGGGCACCCCGAGAAGGTGATGTTCTGTCGCAGGCGGTAGGACACGGTCTGGTTGGCGGTGCCCGCGGCCACCACGTATTCCCGCTGGCCCGAGGATGTCACGGCTGCCGGGTGGCACGGAGAACGCCGTGGGACGTGGGAGAAACGGTGTCAGCATCCATGTGGCTGGCATGTTCTCGGGCACTCAGGGGTGGTGTGTGAGGAACTGAAGGTAGGTGAGCACAGGTCTTACCCGAGCTGGAGTAGGAGTAGAGTTCCTCGTAGGGAGTGATGTGGACGGTGACGTTCTCTGGCAGGAATGGCACCTCACCCTGGATGTGTGTCCTGAGGTTTAAATAATTGTCCGGCCCCAGGCCCTCGGCTGTCTGAGTGACCTGGACTGTCTCCCCACCGGGGTAAAACGTCACCTCCAGGCTCTGGGTGAATTCAGCACCTGGGCAGGAGAAGGGAACGGTCACCATTTGTAGGGACAACCCCAAAGTGTCCTTCCCGTGGGGGGATCACAGTGAGAGGTGAGCACCAGCTGAGATAGCGATTGGAGAAACCCCTGCCCTGAACCCTGATCACCCACACCCTTGGCAGCGATGGCACCTCCCAAATCCCCGCTCAGCTCACCGGTGATGCTGAAGCCGTTCTCAGAGCCAGGCTCCTCCAGGGCGAAGAGCCACGCGAAGAGCCCCCCGACGGGCAGCAGGGGCAGCAGGGCGCGGGCAGCGGGCTGGGGCACCCCGCTGATGGCCGTGTAGGCTCTGCCGTCGCTGCCCACGATGTAGGCGTGCAGGTCCACGTCCTGGAAGTCGACGGACGCCCGTCCCACCCTCAGGCTCCCGCTCACCTTCCCGTTGAGGCGATGCACGGCCCCTGGGTGGGGAGATGGGCACCCCTGGCAGCGGCCACCCCGGCACGGGCTGCCCGTCCCCGCCGCCCGCCCCGCGTACCTTCGGGCAGGCACTGCCGCCCGTTCCCGTAGAAGGTGGCCCGGCAGTGGCAGCAGAAGCCGGCGGCGTAGTCGGTGCAGAAGGCGTGAGGGGAGCAGCGCCCGTGGTGCTGGGCACACGTCTCCTTGCTGGCCGCGCTGTAGGTGAACACTGGGCACAAAGGGAAACGCTTGGGGACACCATGACAAAGCCACCCTTCACAGGGGGTGGGGTGCTTTGCCTTCTCGGCCCCAAAAGCACCGCCTGGAAACGAGCCAGCTGGCAGTGGCGGCTCCCAAGAGAGTCACCCGGGATGCAGAGGGGTGGTGGAGGCCTTGGAACCTGTTGCCTGATTTCAGGCAGATCTGACAGAGGGCACGAGATCGAATTCCTGACGGTATTTTTGGGAGACAGTTGGCTGGGGACGGGGCTCTGCTCTCCCCGGGCACGTGGCACGGCGACTCCACAGCTGGCTCGGTGGCGGGGAGGGTGGCAAAGCCAGTTTGGGGACCTGTCCCCTGAGCTTCCCACCCCAACCCCTGCTCCATGGAGCCGAGAGGAGGAGCTGCAGGGGCAGCTTGGGACGTGGTGAACTTCCAGCCTTTGTTAGGGAGCCACCCCCACTGGGTCACTGTCCCCACTGGGTCATTGTCCCCACTGGGCCACCACAGCGGCCGCTCACCGTCGGGGTTGAAATGCACGTCCTCCTCCACGCCCACGCCGTGCTGGCCCGAGCTGTAGGAGGAGGGGTTGGCAGAGAAGCTCTGCCCGGTGCCACCGTCCCCTCTGGGCTGCAGCCAGCGGCTCCGCTCCTGTGCGTCCCTCCTCCCGGGGACAAAGCCTAGGAGCACCGGGCTGTGGGATCCGTGGCTGGGACGCTGGGCCATGGATGGGTGGCTGGAGAGAGGGTGGGGGTGTCCGGCGGTGCCAGGGTTGGGGTGCTCAGCGGGGCTCTGAGGCACAGCAGGAGCAGCTCCCTCGCCACCCCCCGGCTCCACGTGCTCCGTGCTGCCCACGTGGAAAACCCACACGCCAGGGATTCCCGTGTTGCTCTCCCTGAGGACACAGCACACATGAACATCATCACAGCCATGCTGGAAAAGCCACCCCAAAAGATGGCACCACCCCTCCAGGACCCCAGTACACCTCCTGTGCATGTGGGGCTGTGCCCCTGTTGCAGCCCAGCACCCCAAGGTCACTCCCCAAATTTTTCCAGGCTCTAAAAGGCTCCAAGGCTGGGAGAAGGTGACCCTGCTCCCCCTGCCCACACCCACAGCCCCCCAGGTTCCGGTCACCTCTCCAGGTTCCTCAGAGCCTGCTCGCTGCTGGCCAGGCTGTGGAAGAGCCCATCCCTCTTCGGGTCATCGCTGTCCCCCCAGCTGAAGCCCACCCGGGCTGGCAGCTCCAGCTGGACGTTGTAGGACTCCTTGGGTCGCGTCCCCAGGAACTGGAGGCCACCGTCAGGGTAGAGGAAGATGGTGTAGGTGTCCTCATCGTTGTAGGCTATGACTGCCTGGAAGGTGTTGAGCTGCCAAAGGGAGAGCGGATGGATGGATGGATGGATGGATGGATGGATGGATGGATGGATGGATGATGGATGGATGGATGATGGATGATAGATGGATGGATGATGGATGGATGGATGGATGGATGGATGGATGGATGGATGGATGGATGGATGGCACGGAGGGGCAGGAGCACAGCAGAGGAGTGAAGGAAGGGGAGCAGGGGTGTGAGAGGCAGCCCCACACACACCACAGGGCATGCAACCACCCCAAAAGGGCCCTCCAACAGAGAGCAGCTCCATGGAGACAGATGGGAGAGCTGGGGGTGCTCACCTGGAGAGGAGAAGCTCCAGGGAGAGCTCAGAGCCCCTTGCAGGGTCTGAAGGGGCTCCAGGAGAGCTGGAGAGGGACTGGGGACAAGGGAGGAGGGACAGGACACAGGGAATGGCTCCCACTGCCAGGGGATGGCGATGGAGATACTGGGAAAAAATTCTTGGCTGGGAGGTGGGGAGGACCTGGCACAGGGTGCCCAGAGCAGCTGTGGCTGCCCCTGGATCCCTGGGAGTGTCCAAGCCCAGGCTGGACAGGGCTTGGAGCAGCCTGGGATGGTGGAAGGTGTCCCTGCCCATGGCAGGGGTGGGACTGGATGGGCTTTAAGGTCCCTTCTCACCCAAACCATTCCATGATCAGCCTGCACAGATCTCCTGGGGAAGAGCAGGAGTTGGAGCCGCTCATGCCCAGCCAAACCCCGAGTGCCACATCCTGGGAAGATGCTCAGCATCCTCCTAGGAGCCCATGGCACAGCCTGGCCACTCCCTCAGTGCAAGGGTGTCCCAAGAGCATCCCTGGCCAGGTAACCCCTGAACTAGGAGCTCCTCACTCCTGTCCTCCCACTGACACCCCCCTGCTCCATCCCATCAGTGCCAGAGGAAAACCCACACCTCCCCCCCTCACTCCCGCTCATCCCTGAGAACAATTTTAGCTCGGTTTCCTCCGGAAAAAACATTCCTGTGCTCCCAGCTTCCCATACATCCCGCTATAGGCGGCAGGCAGCCCTGCCAGCCTTGGGGCCGTGCCAGGCAGCGGCACCGCAGCCACAACCCCGGGACGAGCCACCCGACAGCACACACGCTCCAAAAAATGCCGAGGAACCCACTCCACACTGCTCCTGCTCCTCCTGCTGCAGGCAGGGAGCTGCAGCCCTTCCTTCCCACCCAGTGCTGGAAGCAGAGCCAAGGAAAAGCGATTGAATTCCCAGTTTCACCCCCGGAGCAGCGGGAGGGAGGGCTGGGGGCTCCCCCCGCTCCACCCCCACAGCACCAGCCCTGATTTTGGGGCGCAGGGCCCCCGGGAGCATCACTGGATTTCCTGGCAGCCCCGCGGGATATAAAGAGCCTTGTTGTGCCTGTCACACACTCGGGCATTCAGAGACCCCGAAAAGGCGGCCAAAAAGCTGGAGGGGGGGTGGAATGACCCTCCCACCCCTCCCCCCGGGGCTGGATTCCTCCCCCACGCAGCCAAAGCACAGCAGCAGCTGCAGGACTCCTTCTGCCTTGGGGTGGGTGGCCGGGGGGACACGCTGGGTGACATCCATGCGCTGGCACGGTGGGATGAAGGGAAGGAGAGGGGGGAAGTCCCCGGGAAAGAGCTGCAAAGGGCAAATTCCAGCCCAAAAGGGCAAGTTTTGCTCCTACAGCAGCAGATTCAGCCTTGTCCTGTTCTGCAGCTCGGGAAAACGTCACTGCAGGGACCAGGAGCATGTCCCAGGGAGCTGGAGGGGACACGGCACCGCCAGGCCTCCCACCCAGGCAGGACCCCCAAAGAGGGGCTCTGGGGATCCTCTGCTCCCCATCTCAACCCACTTTTCCACTTTAGGGGCTCAAAAGGGATTAGCCATGTCTTTCCAGGGCAGGGGGAAAGGCTTTGGAGTCAGTCCTGGCTCTGAGCAGCAGGGGGGCAGCGTTTCCATAAACACCACATTTGGTCAGGGGAAAAAAAAAAAAAAGGTGGTGTTTGGGGAGATTTTTAGCAGTTTTGGCGAAAGGGGAGCTCAGCAAAGCACAGGCACAAGCTGCATTTCAGGAGCTTTCCCTGGAGCTCCTCGTTTCCAAACAAGACCGGTTTCATTTCAAAGCCTGATCCAAACTTCTCAGAGGAGGAAAAAACCACGACGGGGAAGAGAAAAGAAGAGGAGGCCGCGTTTTTGATGGCCATGAGGTCGCTGTGAGGCCCCTGATGGCATCTCTTCAGCTGTTTTCCCAACTTCTAAATGAGAGGAAAAAATGTGCCTTGTCTCCTTCCAAACCTCAGCTTCTTGCCTTGCTTGGCTTCCCCCTCGGCACCGTGCCACCAAAGGGCCCCAGAGTGGGGGGACGGCTCCTGGTGGTCCTTGAGGACCTGGTGGCTGCTTCTGGGCTTTGGGGGGGAGCCCATCACCCATCACCCAGCTCTGGGTGTCCATCACCAGAGTTTTCCTCGTGCAGCTCATCCTTTTTAGCTCCTTGGAGGCCCTGCAGCTGGCGGAGCGTCGCTGTCACCTCCTCAGCACGTCATCAGCCTGATGTGACAGCTCATGACCCACGACAGGCAGCGCTGGAGGTCCACCCACGCAGGAGCCTTATCAGCCCCGTGGGTGGAGAGCACAGGTCACCCCCCGAGCTGGCAGACCACCTATGAGCTTGATTTCCAGGCACAACATCAGCCCACGGTGGAAATTCCAGAGCCGGTTGCTCACCAGCAGCACAATCAGCACAGGGGCAGCAGGAAGGACCAGCCCCGAGCCACCAGTAAAGGTCAGGAGCACAATGGGTGACCCAAAGCAGGGCCTCCCCCAGCTGCCCCCAGCCACCCTCTGCCCTGCAAAGCCAGAGCTACCAGCACTGGAAAGCTTTGTCTGAAAAGAGTCAGAGTTGTGGAATGGTTTGGGTTTGCGGGGATCTTAAATCCCATCCCACCCCCTGCCATGGCAGGGACACCTTCCACTGTGCCAGGTTCCTCCAAGCCTCAGTGTCCAATCTGGCCTTGGACACTCCCAATGATCCAGGGGCAGCCTCAGTTTCTCTGGGCACCCCGTGCCAGGGCCTCCCCACCCACACAACCAGGAATTCATTCCTAACATGTGATCCAAGCAATGTGAAGCTATTCTCCCTTGTCCTGTCACTCCATGTCCTTGTTCAAGCACCTCCAGCCACCAAGGCAACCTCTAAACCTCTTCTGGCCAACAACCCCACCACTGCCACAGCTCTGATCAGAGGGGGAGAGCTCCACGCTCCTCCTGGTGCTCACCCAAGGATGGGTGGATGGATGGAGCCACCATCCAGCTGCTCAGAAAGAAAAGACCCAGCGTTTTGGCTACCACACAAGAGAAACTCATCGTCCCGTGACACGCAGGATGGGCATCCAAGCTCAGCCCTTCGGCCTCACCTTCGTGGAGGGCTCGGTGTCCTGGGAGAGCTCCTGGTAGGCGCCCACCTCCTCCCAGGTGGCAATGAAGGCGTTGGTGGGCACGAAGGCGCCAGCAGAGCGGGGAAACCCGGCCCGGATGTATCGCACAGCCTGGTCCAGCACGTCCCGAGAGTCATCCTGCCGGTAGTAGATGTTCCCTCTGTCCCCGGAGGTGTCCAGGTCGGCCAGGAAGGGGGCGACGACGGGGAAGTCTGTGGGGAAATCGTCATCCACGTACTGGGTCTCCCTGGGGAAATCCTGGGTGGAGATGACCCCGTTGGTCCCCACCTGCAGGGAGAGGCGGTGCAGGGTGCTCAGGAGCTGCGGAGGTGCCACCACCGCTGGTCCCCTTGCCCTGTCCCCCCCTCCTCGGTGCAGTGGGGCTGAGAGCCCCGAGGCCGCGTGGCCCCATCCGGCCCGGGCAGAAAACAAAGACCTCGGGCTCCTCCAGCCCCCAGGGAGCTGCGGCTCGGGGCCGTCCCAGCTGCAGGCGCTGCTGGCGGGGGAACAGCTGCGGAGGAGAAAGCGCTCTTGTTCCTCCGCAGCCGGAGACGCCGGGCAGGAGACCGCGGGAAAGGGGGGAATGATGGATGGATGATGGATGGATGGATGGATGGATGGATGGATGGATGGATGGATGATGGATGGATGATGGATGGATGGATGATGGATGGATGGATGGATGGATGGATGATGGATGGATGGATGGATGGATGGATGGATGGATGGATGGATGGATGGAACACGTGCGGTGGGACAGCGAAGGTGCACATGGAGGGGCAGGGAGGAGGTGTACAGTCAGGGGAGGAAGGATGGAAAGATGGAGGGGTGAAAAGCCAGAGGGAAGGAGGCATGGTGGGACAGAAGGATGGAGAGAAGCAAAGCGGGAAGATGGAGAGAGACAAGGCTGGAATGAGGGAGGGACAGAGAGTGGAGAGATGGACGGAGCGAAGATGGAGGGACACAGGGAGATGATGGAGAGGAGGAAGCGGGGTCGGGAGGAAGAGCGGCCGGGGGGAAGGAGGGCAGGAAAGGAGAAGGGAGCAGGGAGCGGGGCCAGGCGGGACTCACGTAGAGGCGGCGGGCGGCGCGGCCGTAGAGGCGGAGGGCGCGGCGGAGCAGCAGCCCCGGAGAGCTCTCGTCGTCTCCGGGCCGGAGCCGGGCATCGCCGCGGGCCGGGCCGTGCGGGAGCAGCCCCGGGCGGGGCAGGGCTGCCCCCAGCGCCAGCACCGCCGCCAGCACCGCCGCCAGCGTCCGCATCCCGCCGGCGGCCACGGGAGCTCCCGACGGTGCCGAGCGGAGCCGAGCGGAGCAGCGGAGCCGAGCGGAGCCGCACGGAGCCGCACGGACCGGACGGGGCGACCCCGGCCCCGCGGGGCGGGACGGGGAGTAGCCCGAGGGGTGTGGCCAAGCAGCGGCCGTCCCCTCCTGGGCCAATCAGATCTTACCCAAAATCCGTCCAGAGTCGAGGCGCCCATCCCCCCCAGTACCGGCATCCCGGGGGGAGCGGGGGACCACGGCGGCCGTGTCCCGAGGGGACATCCCGGCAAGGAGAGCGGGATCCCCTCTCGGTGCCCCGCGGCCCCGGAGCCCCCCAGCCCCATCCCCGCCCCGCCGCGACCCCCCCGGGGCCGGGCCCGCCTCCAGCCGGGGTCGGGGCCGGGGTCGCGGGAGGCTCCGGCCGCTCCCCGCTCGCCCCCTCGGATGCTGCTCCCTGGAGCCGGGAAGAAACGTGACTCCTGATCCCCAGGGGAGCCGCGGGGGGAGGACGCGGCAGCCCCCGGCCAAAATCTGTCACAGCTCAGCTGGCAGCGGTCAGCGAGCGGCCCCCACGCACGCAGGGCCGGGCGCGGGGTCAGCGCTGTTTATCCTTTCTCTGTCCCGTCATCCATCATCTCCAGCCCTGCAGTGCCCGATGGATCGAGAACTCCCCGTCTTTCCATCCTCTCCAGCCCTGCAGTGCCCGATGGATGGAGGAGAATTCCCCGTCTTTCCATCCTCTCCAGCCCTGCAGTGCCCGATGGATGGAGGAGAATTCCCCGTCTTTCCATCCTCTCCAGCCCTGCAGTGCCCGATGGATGGAGGAGAACTCCCCGTCTTTCCATCCTCTCCAGCCCTGCAGTGCCCGATGGATGGAGGAGAACTCCCCGTCTTTCCATCCTCTCCAGCCCTGCAGTGCCCGATGGATGGAGGAGAATTCCCCGTCTTTCCATCCTCTCCAGCCCTGTAGTGCCCGATGGATGGAGGAGAATTCCCGGCCTTTGCTCGTGGGGTCGCGGTGGGAGCACCCGCAGTGGTGGAGGGGAGGAAGAGCTCCAATCCCGACAGCTGCGCTCCATGAGTGCTCCTGGAAATCCGGCCTGGGAGCAGCCAAAAGCTCTGCTCCAGCTTCCTGGAGCTTTTTCCCCTTCCCTGGCCTGGAGACTGCATCTGTCCCCAGGCACAGCCATGCCCGAGGAATGCCAGATAACAAGGAGGGAAGTGTCAAACCGCCGCAGGCTGTCGAGAGAAAGAAATCAGGGACACATTCATGGCATTCCCGACGGGAATCCTCACACGGGAAGCAGCTGGGCACCCTCCACCCTGTCTGTTGCAGTGACAGCGATTTGTCCCTGTGATCCCTGTCCCCTGCATCCTGCTCACCCTGGAAAGCAGCTCCCACTGCTGCTGGGATTGAGCTGGTTTGGAAGTCTGGAGTGTCACTGCCAGGGCCACATCTGGAGAAGCCCCTTGGCTGCAGGCAGCTGGCTGGCTCCAGCCCCTGGGAGGAGTCATTTGCCTGGCCATGGAAAACCATTAGGACTTTGAGTGGGTTCCAGGCCAGCTGGACACGATCCGCAGCCTTTGAGGAGCTTTCCGTGCCAAAATGTGGCTTTTCTTTGAAGCTCAAACACCTCCGTGGCTCTCCAGGGAAACTGGGAGCTGCAGGGAGCCAGCAGCTCCTCTGCCTGGTGAGATCCCAGCTGGGATGTCACTCCCATGGGGAATGGTGGCGTTTGGTGGCACCTCGGGGGTGGCAATGGGCAGAGGGGGCAGGGAAGGGTGGAGGGAAAGAGAGGGAAGCCTTGCTGCTCCATGAGATCTTTGGAAAACCTAAACCACGGGCCCTAAGAATCTTCTGGACAGGGAAGGAGGAGCTGCCAGGCTTCCTACAGTCTTTAGGATGCTAAAAAGTGAATTTTCCCAACTCCCTGAGCCAGACTGGCACCAGTCAGTAAAAAAAAAAATTGGCAGCTGGAAGAGTTGAAGTCTTGTCCTGGCACTGGGAGCAGAGCCCTGCTGGCATCCCTGTGGCTTTGGGAGAAGCTGGGAGCCTTAGTGGGGCTGGGAGCAGGGATTGGGATGAGGAAGAGGATGGAGGCAAGAAATGGGATGAGGATAAGGATGGGGATCGTGATGTGGATGGGGAGATGGGAATGGGACAGAGCCAGGGATGGACGTTGGGATGGGGACAGGAACAGGGATAAGGAGGAGACAAGGATGGGGATGGGGATAAGGATGGGCAATAGGGGATGAAGGGGAAGGTGAGGAAAAGGGCAAGCTTGGGGATGTGGATGGGCATAGGAATGGGTTTTGGGATGTGTATGGGATTGGGCACAGGGATAGGGATGGGGCTGAGGATGAGAATGAAGATAGGATTGGGAAAAGGATGAGGCTGGTGACAGGATATGGATGGGGACGGGGACAGGCTGTGCTCGTCCACACCCTGTGCTGGGAAGGGAGGTGGCACAGGGACCCGGTAATCACTTCCATGTGCCTCAGCAGAGCCTCTGGCTGCAGGGGCCATCCCTTCTCTCAGCTTGGGCACAAAAACAATCCAGAGCCATTTCCTGGGAGGCATTTTGGGCAGAAACAGATGTGCTGCCAGCATGGAAACGGGGGAAGAGCCGGATGGGGCTGAGGATGGATCTGTCCCCACCCAGCAGACACTCCCAACTCCCTGTTGGGAAAACCAGGACAAAGCACTGCTCACACCCTGGGGAGGGGGGATCGGCACCTCCCCGTCCTGCTGAAGGCTCACCTTGCCCTGCGAGGAGCAGGAAAAGCAGAGGAATCCCTGGCTCCCAGGCTGCTGAGGCAGGAAATCCCGGCAGCCTCTCCCCGAGCCTGGCAAGCGCTGGAATTGCCGAGCCCCCGCAGGAGGCAGAGATAAGCGAGGGGAGCAGCAGGAAACCCGCACCTCTCCCGGGGCAGGCGGGGAAGGAAGCGACATTCCCGGCCGTGGCAGCGGCGCCGGGAGCCGCAGCACGCGGCCAAGGCTCGCAGGATGCACCGGGACCGCTCGGTGCTCTGGGATGTTGGCAGGGAAGCAGGGCTGGGATAAGAGCAGGGATTCAGGGATGGCTCAGCAGTGTCCTTTTGCCAGCTGGGTTAGCGGGTCACTGCAATAAAGCCCTTGGAGCATTTGTCCCCCTGCTCAAAGCCGGGCGGTTTGGCAGGAAGGGCCACGAGCCTGGAATATCCCTGGGGTTCCTGCAGGGAAGGCTCACAGGGAGAGGCTGTGCACCCCTGAGCTCCCTGGAGCAGCACCAAAAAGGGCTTTGGCCTCATGTCCTCAGAAAAAGAGAAGTCTCAGGGGCCACCCTTATAGAGTCATGGAATGGTTTAGGCTGGAAAAGCCCTCCAAGATCACCCAGCCCTGACCCCTGTCCCCAAGTGCCACATCCACGTGGCTTTTAAATCCCTCCAGGATGGGGAATCCACCACTGCTCTGGGCAGCTGTGCCAGGGCTGGACAAACCTTTTTTTGTGAAGAAATGTTCTCAATATCCAACCCAAACCTCCCCTGGCACCGCTTGAGGCTGTTCCTGTTCCCTGGGAGCAGAGCCCGACCATGAAATGATTAGAAAGAAAATTCCTCCATCCACCAAAACTGGAATCTGCTGGATAATACCAGCCAAACGTGACAGCAGCAGACAGAATAAACCAGGCTCCATCAGCTGCCCTCTGGCCCAGGAAGGTGGGCACAGCCCTGGGTTTGAGCCCAGCCCCGGGAGCCATCGGAGAGCCCCAATTTCCAGCAGCAGGAAAAGCTCTGAGCTGTGCCAAGGACAAAGGGGGTCTCTGTGGGTTGGCACTGCCCTCCTTCAGGCCATCCTGAGGGATTTCTCCATCTCCCTGCCTTCCCTGGGGCTGTTTCCTTTCCTGGGAGCATCCTGAGGGAGCTGCCAGCAGGGCAGGTCCCCCCCAGCCCGGCAGAGCGCCCAGCTCTCCACATCTCCATTTTTGGGAACACCGCTCCTTCATTTTTGCTCTCAGTTCCTTGACTCAGCTTCGCCTCGTGACTCAGCACCTCCTC